AAAAAAGGGAATACACAGACTACAAGATCATGTCTACAAATTTTAGTAGTCCACTGAATCTTACTATGTTTACTTAAGTGAGGGAGTTAGATAAACTGTATTCAAAAATTTTCTGGCTCTCTTGTGACATATGTGACGCAGATGTAAATATGTGTGCGTGTGAAATTTAGCCTTTAAACCCTGTTGATCTGTGCTCTGAATCTGTACGGATTTTAAGATATATGGAGATTATTTTTAGATTAATGCTTCCAAACTGATGATTCTGTTAAAGCCATTAGCTGACTACAGATGTGTGAAAGGTGTTCATAGTGAGACTAAACCCATTAGTCCTCTGATTTGATGCTGGGACGATTGAGCCATTTCCTATTTCCATATATACCTCATGAAGGTCGAACAAAGTGTTTTAATTTCACCAAACTATGATCAAAAAGGAAGATAGTTTGCAGAGGCGCCATCTAATTACTTACTAATCTAATGGTTCTCTTTGCTGTTGTCCTTTTTATTAGTTTCTGAAAACAGCAACATCTTGATGCTCAAAGTATAAACAAACCTGTCGTCTTTCTTGATCTTTCTCTTTGGCTTTGGCGATCCTCGTGGTGAGGTTTTCCAATCATTCACCGGCAGTCTATGTGAAGATCGAGAACCACAGTTTCCAGAGGATGACGCCAGACTGGCCACCTCATCATCAGGGTCACTGAGTCATGCACAACACAGAAATGTAGACAGTAAGTCAGCTGCTGTAGTCTCTAAAGCAGAGTTTAGACCAGGGGTGGGCAATCTCAGTCCACGAGGGCTGGTGTCCCTGCAGGTTTTAGATGTGTCCTCGAACCAACACAGCTGATTTAAATGGCTAAATTAGCTCCTCAACATGTCCTGAAGTTCTCCAGAGTCCTGGTAACGAACTAATCATGTTATTCAGGTGTGTTGACCCAAGGTGAGATCTAAAACCTGCAGGGACACCGGCCCTCGTGGACTGAGATTGCCCACCCCTGGTTTAGACCACTTGTTGTGGAATCAGCTGAAAAAAAGTCAATAAAATCAAACCATTGCTGCGCCTTGAATGTGCAGCGCTTTATCATGAGTTTGTTGCTCATGATAAAGTCCATTCTATTGCCTGTTTCATTTGCATAAACAAATAGATGGTGGGTTAATGTATGTTACCTCTGCTCGGCTCCAGCGTCCTGACTGTCATTCTGTGGCAGGTGATATGAGCGTCGATGGTAAGGTGAGCTCAAGTGTCTGTCCTGTGACTCCTCTCTTGAACTGCAGCAGGCATATGAGACAAACACACCAATACTTAAATTAATAAAAAAATAAATAAAAATCTTCACAATGCCATTTTCATTGCAACATAGCATGACAACCTGATGTGTACGTGAAACTACCTGAACAAAAACCAGGGGTTCTGAATGTTTTATACACAGAGAAATCAAAACAGGCTTGTGAAATGTTTCACACAGGATGGGGGTTCAAGTATTTATATGTTAGATTACACACCAGTCAACAAGTCCGTTGTCCCTGAGACTGTTCCTGGTTTCTCTGGTGATATCTGGAGCAGCTGGCCATGGTGTGTGGCTAACGTTGCCATCTGAGGACCCTCCTCCTATCACAGGATTTTCCTGTGATAGCGCATTCTCAAGCAGAGATGGTGTGTGACTCAGTCTGGACTCAGACTCTGCTGCCCCACCCACAGGCCCTTCTGCACCTCCAAGTTCAAGGGCCAACAAGCTGTAACACAATATATATTGGCTTATGTAATTTAGAGAGCATTTCTGGACTGGGAAAATAAAATATAAAGCCAACACAAATGTACATACATTAAAACAAGAAAGTGAAATGAAACTGCAGAATCAGAATCAACAGTAATTATGGTTATGTAAGGTTATGGAATAAGCAAGCTGTCAAACTGGTGACATGTACAATGTTTTCCCATTACAAACACATTACCATATCGCTTGCACAGTGATCTCAACTTTGACATTATTACCATTGAAACAAAAAGAAAGAGCTGAGGTTGCATTGCACAAATGATAACACTTAAGTGGATTCAAAATAGTTTTAAATGTTTCCACAACTTCTTGTTGTCTCTGTATCATTACAACATCCACACAGCTCTGACTCCACTGACATATAACCAAAGCTAATCTAACATTACGCACATTAGCCAATCAATGTCCTAACTAAAACATTTCTTATAGTATAATAAATGCCATCAAAAAATAAAAGCAAGGTTGCACAGATGCAGGCAGTGCAGAAACATCCCCCTGCAGCCAACGACAGAACAGTTAGCATCTGCTGCAGGGAGTTATCAAGAGCAGCCCTAGTGAGGAAATAGAACTGGTCAGGGGCTGCTTATATCTGAATTTGATGTCACAAATGGCTGCAAACATGAGTGGCTCATTGAGAGAAATTGTAGGATTCATGTGGAAAAGAAAATATACAAGGAGATTGTCTTTTCTCACACCCTGTGCTCAAAAACAGTGAGGAAGATGGTTTTACATAATGTGCTACTACCCTAATCAAATGGAGTAGTAAACATAAAAAGTGTCAAACTTTAGTTTAAGTGGATCATAAAATCTCAACACTATTATTTCTGCATGCTTTTTAATACTCCTAATCGCTTTTTAATTTACATACCCGCTGTTGCTGGCTGAGCGTGGTGAGGTTAACAAGTGCAGTGCAGAGGCGGCAGAGGCCATGCTGTCTGTCTGGAGGGCAGAAAGAGGCAAGGGATCCAAGCTGGACACTAGTCCACGCTGAAGCTGCAGGGTCTGAGAGGCGATCTCTGGCATGTCCTGGGACATGGCTGTGGATGCTGAGGAGATGACGTCAGGGGAGCGGGCTCTAGTTGGAGATGCCAAAGGTGGCAGGAGTGGAGGATCTAGAACCTGAGAGCTGTCGAGTACCAGAGGACCACTAGGGGTTGCCAAAACCTGGATATGGAGAATAAGAGTTTATTAAAATAAGTCATGTCATGAAGAAAGGGGCAAGGTTGGTTGAAGTAGGAGAGTGGTTTAGATCATACCTGCAGGCTCTCGAGTCCGGGAAGTAGCACAGTGGAAGCAGCTCTTGGGCTGCTGGTGGAGGCAGAGAGTGGCAGCCCAGTACTGCTGTTGTCAGCCCTGTTAGGACTCTGACTTGCATCCTCCATAGCTCTGAAAAACAAGCATACATATTCCCAAATGTAACCAAAACCAAAACAGTAGGGAATTATTTGTATTCAGCTGTTAGAGATAAATGGAGTCTTTAAAGTAAACAAAAGATAACAGAGGCTTATTTTTTATAATTAACAACTGGAGATAGAAAACAACCCAAAATCATTTGTCTTCATCCCTGGCTTATTTGAAATAAGTACAAATCTAAAAACTCCACATCCTGGTAAACATAATCTGTAAGAACAGCATTCACCAACTCAAACTGCATGTTATAAGGACACAGATGATAAAATATCATTTGTGATATCATCTTCACACTTTCATATGCTAAAATTTTCCGTTTCCAAATGAATATATAGAGAATTCTTAATTCCATACCTGTTTGTTGAGTCAGAGTTGCTGCTTATAGCTGTCACAATGGTCAGACTGCTGGCACTGCTCCCAGGAGATGCTGGTACCTGAAAGGATGACAAAAAGATGATCTTCAGGCAGAAAATATGATAGAAGGTTTGGATAATCACTGTTCAGTGTTTATAAATCGGTTTAACTGAAGCGCATTGCAGATAAGTTGGGTGTTTCACACCTGAACCCTGTTCGCAATGATTATATTTATCCAATATTTTATTGACTTTATTCAACTGGGTGGAGGGGTGTCCCTTGACTGGGTAACTGGTCCATCAAGGGGCTAACACAGTGTAACATTCAAACCTACAGCTAATTTGGACTCACCAGTTAACCCAACATGCATATATTGAGACTATGGAAGAAAACCAGAGCATCCATAAAAGCAAAGAGCTAATAAGGAACAATTTGTCCTTTTGTATGTTATCAGCTTTTCTTTCAGTGCATAACTAGTCCTATTTAGTTTGCACTAGTGTGTATTAACAGGGTGTTGAGTGCTGTTGCCAACTATAGACCCATATGTGGGCGAAGGTGCTATTCACCGTGTGACAAATCAAAAGAAGACACATGGTGTTCATTTGCTGAAGCTGTAACGGTTTTGGTCGTTCTGTAAACTTCAGAAATTTTTTAGACTCATCAATTTTCTTCTCATCAATCTACACAGAATATTCATAAAGAATGAACAAATACAAGCTTTTTTTTTAATACAAATTAACATAACTAATCTATATTACAAAACTTGCAATTAATATCCAATGCCCAAAGATGGTTATCAATTGTCTTTGAGATGGTTCCTCAAACTGACTGGAACCCACTGGTACCTAACTACATTCAACACCTATGAGTTTAAAACTTATAGCTCACAGAACCAAGCTGTGTGGTTGAGAACAAACGTGTGTCAGGGCAAAGACCCAAGAAGATTTGCTGTTGTCATTGCTGCCAAAGGTGCTTTAATCAATTATGAAGTGAAAGGTTTTAATAGATTTCACTTCATAAAAACGAACTGAAAGATATTAATTTGCAATACTACTTTTGCAAATGTAATACTTAAACATTTTTTGTATCTTGTGGAGTATTAGGTCTAGTTAGATGAGGTAAAAAGAATGGAAAAGGTTTGAAAACTTTCTGACTACAGCGTAAGGATAAGTTCATACTGAAGTGCTCGGTGTCATGAAGGCATCAGGAGTCATCAGCTTGGGCATCACTCCGCTGCCGGTGCCCGAATTTGACAGGAAGTCTGAGGGAGCAGGAAGTGATGGGATCTTCCTTAGATCAGTCTGTGAGCCACTTCCTGAATCCTTGTCAGAGCTTTGATCAGTGAGATGATCTGAAAACCCAGCTGGAGACATAAAAAGTGAAATTACTTCCATTTTGTGGCAGAATTTGATCTAAAATAAACAATTTTTAAATGATGTATAAGCAGATATAAATAAATTTGATTTCAAAACTAAAGTAAATTATTTATGAGAGAAGACTAGAGGTGGACCAAATGTGGAGTAATCATACAAGTTGCCTTATTTTCATTGAATTCGTCCCTCTCAGCATAAATACTAAATCCTGTCAGTTAAAGAAACTGCTATCTTACCCAGACCATCCTGAGAATCTGAATGAGGAAGGAAGGCCGCAGAGTTGGAACCAGCATTGGGCTGAAACCAAATCTGAACATCCTGCAAACTCCTGCAAACATAAATGTAGAGACATTAAACAAAATTACTAATAATTACTGATACTGCCATATCATACCATGTGTAAAACGAGCAGCAAGCTGCCTCTGCATTGTCGACTATAGTATCTTTACTCCAAATAGAAAATGGCACACTTGTCAGTCTTTCATTTGGGTTGACTGCTTTCAGAGGGTGGATGGGTACAGAGAGATGTGGTATACAGCACTGTTTTAACAAAGAACAATTACATGCTATATGTCCTGTCCTTCAACAGAAGCTTTCCAGTACAGTAGATTTTTCCACAGTGTTGGAAAGAAATGTCAGCTCCAACACAAGAGACTGACACTAGTCACCAAGTACACAATAAGTGTGCACATCTGCAAGCAATTCCATGGAAATATACGGAGCTTGCTGACTGGATGAAAGGCTCCTTTACAGAAGAAATCCAATAAACTTGGCTGACAGCAGAATTATGAATATGTTAAACTGAGCATGGTTGCCCATTCTATTCTATTTTCAAGAAAAAAATATTACAACACAAAACAATATTAGTGAGTCCTATAAGAAAGTTAATCACTGGTGTGTACTAGGAAAAAAAGCACATTTTGGTCATTCAGTGTGCATATAACTGACCGCCTGTAAACCAAGATGTCCTGTTAAAGCGTTAAGTTAAAGTGACACAATCTTAACACTTTTCACCAAAAAAAAGGAAGAAAAGAAGAAAACTCACTTGGTGTGGACACAGTAGAGTTTAATCTGGATTCCAGATTTGGACTCTGTGGGTCCTTGAGGGCCCTCTGGAAAAGATACACATGAAAAACATGTGGCATTAATGAGGAACAAACATATTTAATTTCAACTTTGAAGATGGCTTCAAGCACAAAAAAAAAAAAAACTATTCCAATGTGTGTGTGCACATGTCTATGCACATGCATGCGTCTATGTACCTGTTGTCATGCTTTCACTCTCCTCCTCAGCAGGAAGGACCTCAGTGTGCCGCAATCGACACTGGGTAACATCACGTACCCCAAAGCTGAGCACAGGGTGGGTCAGCAGGAACTCTGACACAGCTGTGAAATTTGCCTTTCCTTTCTCCAAGTCCTGTCGCAGCTCCATCACATATAAAACCTGCAACATCAGCCAAGTATGAAACTAAGCTTAGGAAGAAGTGGTAACATGGGTAGCCAAGAAAGTGGCATTGTTCAGGGACTTTCACAAACAGAGCAGGTTTCCTTGTACACTTGATGCGTGGTCTTTGATCAGTGTGTCTAGAAAGGTAGTTAATTCAGGATTTGTATCTTTTGTATTGATGAAGTGTGCCAATTAATTTACACAAAGTGATAGAAAAGTGAGCACTTTAAAAAGGGGGTTGCACAATATGATTTCTCACAATGATTACTTGCTTAAAACCTATTTTAAAACATTTGTGCTAACCTTCCTTTGCACATCAGTGAGGATCAGATACTCAGCAGAGAGGTCCAGGCTGGCCTTGAGGCTTGGCAGAGTCGATGAGTTTAATGGATCAGGGGAGAACCTTTAAGAGAAAAGTACTGTGAAATTAGTATCTTTGTATGCTGTCCTTAAACAAATGGTTTCAGCTAAAATATCAACAACAGTCATCACCAAATGTCTTCAGTACAAGAATCATTTTACTTTGGGACTAGTAAAAACCCCTTTTGTGGGCCTTTCCTGGGAGACATTTTTTTGCTTTTACAGAGCATTACTGTTAGACCAGGTTTGTACACCAAGGCCAACCAGCCAGATACTGGTTTGGAATAATGTTTCCCTTAAGACGTGAGCTTTTTTTTGACCATGTCCTGATTTCTTTAAGGTGTACTGGAGGTGTGCTGAGGTACTGAGGGTGCAAGCAGAAAAAAAAAAAAAAAAAGAGAACTCACAGCTGTTCACGTTACATTTACTAACTATTCTTATACATGCTTTCTGCCATCCCATGCTACATTTATAATAACGGTTGAGAAAAATATAAAATGACTAAAAAATAATTAGTGCTTTCAGCGTTAATTTTGTTAAAATGACGTTAACGACATAACTGCATTAACGCAGCAAATCTCCGTTAGTGAGTTAATGCGGCTCCCCCCGTGCGAGGGGCTGCACGGCACTAACACGTTAACGAGCTAACATTAACATCATTTTAACAAAATTAACGCTGGCAGCACTAAAAAATGTATTTCAAATAATAGACACCTGATGGTTTGTAAACAGGTCCAGGAAACAGTGCACCACATCTTCAACTCCTGGTTTTGGTCAGCTCCAGTTATCAGAAATCGCCAGAAAGGAACCCTGTAATGAAAAGCAAAAGGGGACAGAATTGTCAATGAGAAGAAGAAAGAGATAGAGATGCACTTGAATAAAAACCCACCAGGACAGCCTGTGATAAATTTGCACTTTGAGTTTGTGTGTGCAGACTCACTCGGGATCCTGCCTCTTGTGGTTGTCACAGAAAAGAAGACAGGAGAGAGGACGTCCTCCATGAGGCCGCAATTCATGAAGACATCTATTTTTAAGGAAAAATGCAAAAGTGAATAAAGGGCAGAGGTGGGAAAACCACATAGAAGAAAAGGAAAAAACAAAGTGGTAAACCATTTAAGAATTAATTAATTGGTTTGCTTACCTGGGTTTGTCTTGCCCACCTTCTATGTATATCTGCCAGAACTTGATGTATCCATCATGGCTGGCTGTGGCTAACACGGTTCCATCTGGAGAGAGTGCGCCTTCACTGACTCTCTGGATAAACCAAAATTAAACAATGTTCATAGTCAATAATGCAACAATTCTCAGGAAACGTGAGACCTTAAGTACATTAGTTCCAGACATTTTGTTGTACAAACCAAGACAATGAAATGTGTCATGTTTATTTCAGAGTTTTTCATATGAAAATGAAGTCCCACCTGGGTATGCCCCTTGACTGCGATGAGGCCCTCCTTTACTTCTGTGGCATCAACAGGCCAGCTGCTGTTGTTGGCTCTCAAGGCCTCCAGATCCCATACCTCAGCCTAGAAAAGGGGAAACAGTAAAATTAGAGATGAAACATTTCTGCTTTTTCTGCAAGTGTTTTGTGTTTTAGCTGAGACACAGGATTGTATTGCTCTGTCAGCTAAAAATCAGTGAATGAACAACGACATCATTATTCCTCTGTGGGCAACACCACACTACTTTTTAATGTATGTAAATCTATATATATTTATCAAATTTATAACAATGTCCTAGTGTAGGCAACTGAGTACTCAAAGTTTTATTCTATTTCAAAGTTCATTGGCTTTTCATCCAGCTCAGACATATCTGTGTCAAACATTTATACCCTGTCTTCATGTAGAAGAGCCAAAGTTTGACTGGCATCATCCTGGATCTCCTCATTGTCATCCTGGATGAATGGACACCAGATGAGGCGACGATGGGAATTCAGTGGAGTGTTTTCTGGCCGTCGGATATGAACTACTATCTGATCTCTATATAAGACATGGGTTAAGGAAAATGGGAGACAAGAATAGTTTTGGAATTCCTTCTGTAACTGTGACAAAAGCAGAGGTGAAGATCAGTGTAATCTTTAACTTGCTAGTTTAGAAGCAAACAGAGGTAACTAAGTAGTGAAGATACAGCCTTCATTGGCAGTATCCACACACACACAGACACACACACGCATTCAGTTTCTCCTACATTCAGGATACAGTATCTTGTTGGCAGTGTAGGTGAGCTGCCAGACCATCAGGTTGCCCGCTTCATCTACACAACCTAACAGAGATGAATCAAGGTGGGCGAAAGCCAGATCTGTGACGGCCCCGGTGAATCCCTTCAGTAAGGAACGCTCACCAAACTCCAAACTGAGGACACGAACCATAGCATGGTTGTTGGCTCCTGAGGGGAAAAAATGCCCAAAGATAAACCAAGGAGCCTTTGTTATTATAGCATTGAATACACAGCAAATCCATTGAATAATGTTATAAACAACCATAGTATAAATAAAAGTTTAATAAGTGGTATGAGCAACATTTTCAGCCCTTTAAAGTAATGGACTACAATGCATAGTAATTCTGGTGGAACATATGAAACATCTCAACTGAGCCTTGAGATCAGACCGTTCATAGTTTCCCATTATGCACTTACAGAACGTAACTGCCTTTATGCAGCAACATGAATTATCAAAGAGCTGATTAGCTAAAACAATTTTTTTTTTTTTAAATGACAGAAAAGCACAAGAATTGTTTTTTCTGCACAGCAAAGGACATCCTTAGATCTGTCAGACCAGGGAGGGGGAAAAAAAAAAATTATCTTCAGTCTTTATGCTGTGAAAAATTTCTAAATTGTGTGTGCACACCACTCCCAGAAAAACCAAGAGTAGATTGGAAAGCAAAAAGAAAAACATGCAAGAAACAACATCGGGGATCAGCAACAGAGATCAATTACTTTAACCAGACCACAACCAGATCACTATCAAGAAGTGTGGGTACAGGGGAGACTGATGCTGAGGAAACCATTTATAAGGACAAACAATTTGGCAGCTAAAATTAAATTTTAAAATGAACATGCACAGAAGGATTTTTGGAGATTTCGAGTGCATACTCCTTCATAGTAGACCTTTACGCCTTCATAGGAATAAAGGTAGAAGGT